GTTGTCTAAAAACTAAAAAGGGCATCTTATCTTTTTTCTTCTGACAATTTTACATATTTCGCTGAACCTCGCATTACTATTCTCTTTTTCTGTGCCCGTACCGCTTTTCCAAACAGATCTTTTAATTTCACAAAATAAACGGATTTAGCGAGAATATTATCTATTCTATATTCAGCTAACAAAAAAACAGATTGTTTTATGATACTATTCATAACCCTACAACGTTCTAATGGATTATAAGTCAAAAGCAACATATCATGAGAACCAACTGTTGATCCACACCGTCAGGTAAACCAGTGTTTTTTGAATAGATCCAGTCGACGATCCATACTCGACGTAGGAAACCAAATCTCCGAAAATTATGTACTCAATCAAATTTTTTCGTAACTTCAACTCACTACATCACATCCTTTGGTGTGCGTCAGCACTGAATGCTGGCAGATCTTTCCGACGTCTCGAAGATTCACACTACACCACATTACTGTATCTCCACCAGACAAAGCTCTTTTCATGCTATCTGACTCATAAAGCGTACAATTGAATACGTACATCATCATCAACACCGTGCCCCTTTGTGCTCAAGATAGCATCTTTGCTTGGACATAATACATTAAGACCACATAATGAATTATTAAGATAAGAATTAACGTTAACCTTGGTTGACAGCTGACGTCATTCCAAGTACATGTGGCGAAGCACGACCTGAATATGGCTTCAGAAACTATTCTCTCAGGTACTCCAAAAAAGTACCTGTGATAGGTGCCCGAAGTTTAGAATGCGTCACGCTCCAGAATGGAGTCATGAATGTACTTAGATGTACATATGTATAACAGGCAAGTGGACTACGATCATAGTCAGAGCCAGGGGTCATGCTTTCTGATGGCTTGGTTCTGGCTGACCGATCGCAACAGGATGAGAAAAAGCACTTTTTCGTGAAGGAACCAAACCGCTGAGTTGCAATGGAGAAATTCAGCCATTGGGCACCCTGCTCAATTCATATGCACCTTGTAAAAGTATTCCTCGTGAGATCCCATGTAGCGGTTCCACACTGCCCGTATTAGCTGCGGTTGAAGTCGATGTCGGCCCCGAATTCGATCCAGAAGAGCGCCCATAGTGACGACCTACGCGGGTCGCCGTCTGAAATCCGAGAGCATTTGTTAGAAATTTCCTAATTTTGAACAAAAACAAGAAACAAGCGTATTAAGGCAATATAACGGGGTCATTGTGGTTGGATAATGCAGCTAACTCGCGTAACGTTATTTTTGCTGAGAACGGAAACAAGCGCTTAAGGGGTTGGAGAGACCGCAAGAAGTTAGAGATTTTCTCATTTAACGACGCATTCGCGACTTGCGCAGATGCGCAGTAGCAGGCAGCGTCAGAGATTTTTTCTTCAAAAAAATCCGAGTGCAATGGAGATTTTCCTCTGCCGCAGGGCTGGCGTAGATGCGGCCGAAGGTATTGAACCGGTTCTTTCCATGGAGAGAAAACATTTCGCAAATTCCATTTTCGAGCCGCTGCAGGTGCCACAATAATAACCACCGGATCCTGAGTGAGAGCTTCTTGTCAGCCAACTCGTGGCTGACACTGTCACAATGGGATTAATAGCTCCTGCCCCTTCTAGCATGGCCCTCATGAAGGTTGCCCCCTCTATATTGTGAAGCGACCGGAAACAATTTTGAGGCGTGCTTCTACATACAGCACGAATCGAACTTTTGGTGAATTCTGAGTTTGAAGGGGAAGATGCAAGGCGGCGCAAGCAGAGGAACGGCCAAAGGAAGAAGAAAAAATGAGAAAGAACCAAAAAAAATATAAAAAAGAAGCCTCCATTTTTTTGGTTGAAGCACTTCTAGATTGGAAAGTACTGGGGGCAGCGAGGCTAGCAATGAAGGGCCGAGGGATCATATAGACCAATCGAAAGATCGGACACCTAACGGTCAAGACCGGATAATTCTATGAGACAAAGCTTCAGCATAACACATTCAGCGAAATTATGAGTGAAAGTCTAGCGAGCCTTGCCCGCGAGCTTAGCGCGCAAGGTGCTTACTTCCCATCCTTTGCAAGCGCCTCCGCCCTCCACAGGTATCGAAACTAAGAGAAGCATGTCTTGTGAAAGTTGATTGAGACTAATGTATCACGCCGTTTGATGACTTACACGGTGAAATTTATGGAGCTCAGGAGCCCCAGATCTCGATAAAAGGATTCATAGCAGGTCAACACCCTAACTCCGTTTTCATCTACTGATATCCGCTAGTGTATATACACTCCATTTGGCTCTCTGCACTAAAATAAAACTATCACTAACAGGCTACTTTTAGATTGTACTGCACTTTGAGTAAGGACCTGAGTGTGCCTGTATCCCCACATCACATTTTTGCAACCGGTCCCTTACACCGATGAAGCTCCAAGCTTTGGTTTTAAGGAAGATTCCAAATTCCTCTGTACCGGGTGCCCTTTCGGAGCCGACTGCATGGCGCGAATCGTGAGGTCACGCATTGGAATCGCTTCCAATAGCATCCGATACCCCTATTCAAATAGGTCCTTGAATGGGACGATTGACCTGTTCTAGAGTACCTATCTGATTTCCTTTAATATTGGAGAACATAATCGAAATGCGCTCACCCTACCCACCTAATGCCCGCATTCATAGTGCGACTCCGGAGCCTAGATAGCTACTGGCGATAATGAAAAAAGGATATGTACTTTGAACGCGAGAGAACATAGGAATCAGTACGGTAGATTAGTATAGTGTGGTAGGAGTAGGCGATTGCTTACTGACTAAACCTGAGTGATACGTATCGATTGAATCGGCCGTAGAGTAGTCAGATGTCGTACTCACGACGGTAGATAGTATTTAGAGTTAGTAAATTAGGATTAGTAGTAAATTAGGATAGATGCGGCTGACTAAGGAATTAGGAGTATGTATTGACTATTCGTTCTTGAATCGCCCAATCTAACAGAATGCTCACAGCGATTTCAATCGGATTACTATCGCGAGACTTGCGTCAGTCGCAATCTCCTAAATCTAGCTACTATCCTGATTATCATGTCGCCTACCCTAATTTTCCTAGTGCGCAACTATGACGCAGCTAACCCTTCTCCCAGCGAACATGCCCTTTTTAACTCGAGTTCAGCATGTCATCCTAACCGTTATCACTTAACATAGTGTCCCGCAAACTCCTGCATTGATAACCCACGAAAATATGTGGCGCTGATTGTTGACCTAACCCTGTGGGATCGCGCCACGAACCACTACTTTCCACTCAAATTGCAGTAGCACTTTGACTGCAATTTTAACCTCAATAATTGCGGTAGCCCATGCTACCCAGAGGGAGTTTTTTGCCCGCTGCAGACAATCTGGTACCAACCTAGCAATACCGGATGATCAGAATGGCTAGCTCACGCCCAGAAAAAGAACTGGACCAAGCTCACTTGAAGCACTGATCTCATTGCTAGTCTCAAATGAAGAACCTGCACAACTTCTGTCACGTCCACCTCCAGCGCTCGGTGTGATTATAGAGTTGCAAAAGTTAATTTTGAGTTTTTATGAGCAACTACAACAACTGATACGAATGCGGTAAAGCACGTATTGGATGGCGAGTAATATCAGCCCACAATATTTTTATAGAACCGACTTTCAACAAGGGACTTTTGAGTGTCATCGCTCCTGTGCAAGATTCTAGCAACGCCAACCACCAACTGTCGACTAATTTTGCAACCCGTCACGAAAAAGAGAAAGATAAAAATGGAAACAGAGCAAGAGGCACGATTGCAACCTCCGATGTGTTAAGTGAATTGTTAATTGTCACCTTGACGCACCAAAAAAAAAAAAATTTTCCCAAAAAGTGACGAACTTGCACATTTGGTGCAGTTCCTTTTGCGAATTGACATGAACGCGTGGGCAACTGTGTCAAGGACGGCGCACTCCCAATTGTTAGGCTGGCGAGTCCAACCACAAATGAAGCCGACTCAGAGCGACTGTTAGTTTTTTGAAAAAAACGTAGGAAATTCTCTAATGACAAGCTACTTTGACTGTTCCGAAAGATCCTCTAAGAATCGCATAGAGTGGTACAGCTCCTAGCTAGCCCGGGTGCTCCCACTGAACTGGCTCTTTAACTCGGCAATTCTGAGTACCTGGCAAGCATTATTGCCTCAGCCAGAACTCGAACACTGATCTCTGTGTTTTTTCGCAGCGCCGTGTTTGGCAATACAGGTTGGCCATAAAACACGTGGTCACCTCAAGTTTCGGACAAGAACTCGTCGAGTGGCAGGCCCCCTCAGTACGTACGGCCAAGAAAAAGGTAACTTTTTTGCTTCCTTCTTTTCGGCTTTGTCGCCGTCGCGTGTGGGTGGTTGGTCTGGGCACTCGACGTTCTCCGAAATAGAAGGTACGCTAAAGCGATCCAGCGTGATTGTTCTCCCCCTTATCTCTGCTTTTTGAGAACATTTAGATCGCTAGTTGTCACAAAAAAAGCAATAATTGGCAAAAAAATGAATTCTTGAAATAATGTGAAGAAGGCGAACAGATTTAGCCGTTTATTCCTGCGAAGACAATATCACTATTAAAAAACAACATGTATGGCTAACAATAAAAATTCTATATCAAATAGTCAAATACATACTCTCTCCAATATATGTATAAATTGACACCCTATCATCACAGCAGTGCTTCCGTAAGCAGTTTCATCTGAGGAACCTCACGTAACTTCCTCTTTTTTGACCTTTTTTTTGTATAAAATGGTCACGAGAACCTTTTGGTTCTATCTAAACTGCAAGAAATCAGCACCAAATACCTATGAGATCTGCAGTACCGATGCCGTATGCCGTATGGCTTGTGTCATTGTTAATTCGAACGCAAACAGAAAAGTAAAGCAAAAATGGAAGTGAGTGAGTGAAAACAATGTCATAAGACTAGTAGAAAAAAATGAAATAAAAGGATTAATTCTAAGAAACCATAATCCAGTATCACACATTTGCTAGAGCGTATCTACATATTACCATTATGTTAGATTCATTTCCGCTGCACAGAGTTTGAGTTTCTCCTAAAAACAACTAATTATCCGATTTTGGCGGGATCGAACCACTATGAAAGGCACTGGCTGATGATTTGACCTGACCCTAATAAAAAACAGGCAGTTACTCGCCTTAAAGGTTGGATCCAAACACTCTTCCTTCGCTAATAATCTCGACCGGTTCTTTTCTGCTATGAACTTTCCAATTTCCATCACAGCACTCTCAGTGATTTTAATGATGAGCGATCTGTTGTTCCTGTCAACAAAAATCAGATAGAACTAGAATATCTCTCATTCAGTGAGAAATTAAGGAACCTTGACCATTCGGAGTTGCAAAGACCAGTCAAGGCTTCTAGAACCTCTGCTTCCTGGATTCCCGTCTCCCTGGAAAGATCTGCACACAAAAACAGGAGTGCTAAGCTTATCAACCCGTATTTCGAGAAAATAACCTATTCCAAAGTTACCTCCAATATCCAAACGCATGTTATCCCATCCGAACAGTTGCGCTTTGGTAAAAATAAGGTGGAGCAACCTGTTGCACCAATACTTTTTGTAAACTTGACCAACCTTGGATCGAGAATGGTCGCTCAGGTCCACCGGGCAGTCCACTCAATCGCGAGAGCAAATAACCTAAGAGCCTTTTTCATTACACGGAATAAGACTCCTTTTTTCAATAAGAGCTAAACATCATTTCCAAAGCACAACAAGAACTGAAGAATTATTCAACAACTTATTCACCTACTCGCAGCATTCAACAAATTGATGAACAAAATTTAGAATTGATATTCTTACTGAGGTCCACGATAAATGTGCCGTATCCTTTGCCTTGATAACAAGGGAACACGCAAAAGCAGGAAAGGTTGTGATTGAAATACTGCCTTGCTGAAATGGATCAGAGTGTTAACATCAAAAAAGATTATGAAATCATTGGGGCAACTCATTTGCAGCTGGTCAGCGTGCGTCGAAGCGACGTCACAACTGGATTAGACACAAAATGCACTAGTCTTGCATTCGTTCGTCTCTGAGTGTTGTCAAGAAGCGAACTGATTACAGAAACCGAAACTGCGTCTTCATTCTGACCGACAACCGTGTCCAACTGTCAGCGACNTAAAGTCAGACGTCTGCAGCTTGGCAAAATCCCGCGACGAGACTTTGAACGTGTTAGTTGATTGAGCAGCGATATGCGTGTTTACGAGTGAAAGAGCCAAAAGCATAGATTTCATGAATACATTATTGGAATGAGATGAAAATGCTTCTACTGTATCCCTAGGTGACCAAGGAATCAAAGCCACGATTTTCTCTTCGGTTGTCAGAAGCAGTAACACGTTGACGACAGGCTGACGCGCATGCGCGTCAGAACTATTACACTCATTTTTATTGTGCTTGCGCTCCTTCTTCTCGAGCTTTTTGTGTTTATTCTATAGATAATACATTAACAGAACTAAAAACCACATGACAGCCAGAGTGGTCAAATATCCCTTGATTTAGCAAGATTTTGTGAACGCACAAAACTTTCATTTCATTTCTTTTCTAGTAATCCGTTCGCTGTCGCAAACATTCGTGAGAACGATTGTTGAAGCTAAACTCAGTGGGTTTCAAGATATATGTATTTGATGGAAGAACTTAGATATAAATACTTTTAACTTCATTCGCAGCGGAAGTAATATTTTTTGCTGCTTCGTGGTCATTATGCGTTCTTCTGAACAAAAATCTACTGCTTTTTATATAGTTGACCTTTGTGCTTTCATCCTTGCCAAAATAATTCTGTTTGATTCAAGTTGTTGTGAATTTTAAACAAAAAATAAGCGGAAGTAAGGTGACGACGGCGCGCTTGCAAAACCGCTCCTGTCCCACATGGGCAAAAACACGCGATGTCGTCAACGTGTTAAGCTTGCGCTGATCATCCCTCTACCGCGCAATTCTCAAATTCGGCTCAATTAGCAAACATGACAGCACTCCTGTAGATCGTATACGACACAACAGCATTGCCACGCGATTATGTACGTATAGTCCAAAATCAGAATAAATTAGCACAAACCCTGCTGAAGTACCCAATGGGTCGGAACATGCCATTTAGAAAACCAGTAACGATGTAAAAATCAAACGGTTCCACATCCATGAAGATCACCTACAAACGAGAAAAGCGTTAGATGAAAAAGTATTCTCATGAAAGAGTTAACATACTTTGTTTTCTAACCACAACATCGTGAGGCGACAAAGATTAGAGCAGTACATCTGAAAATCTCCTTGAAAAAGGTAAGTTAAAACTGGCTGGTCCATTAACAACAAAGCAAGCTGTTTGCTACAGCTTCTAGAATATACTTCGTAGAAGGATTTATTCAATTCCTGTGGCAAATTCTTTAGAAACTTCAAGGACAAGGATACTCACCTTCTCAGGAAGGTCGATCACTTAGTAAAAAAAAGATAAAGGAGGTAATAAGGAATTTTTTTGAAACCCACTGGTTCCACTGTTCCATGCACTTCGAATACTGATATGTTTTTCTGCTTATCACGATATATTTCGTCTCCTGGTGGAGCAAAACGGTAAGGACATTTCGCCTGAAGAAGCAATAAAGATAAAATGTGGAACGGAACAGAATTTCAGAATCCGCTAATCAGAGAAAGTCCGCACACCCATTGCTAGTGATCTGTCAGACTTGCAGAACCAAAAATTACCATGTGGCGTATCTGAGATGGCTCATGGCCGAAGTATGAGAAGCAACCATCACAGACATAAATAGTCTTCAAACCAGAGTATTCCGCTGGATAATTGCCGCTAAAAATACCAAACACTTGCATGAATTAAAAGAAAATTTGCCTACATTGTTCATATTTAACACAAAGCCCGCAACCACCACGAACTGAATATCCTCGTAAAGAAATGAAAAGGGAACATCAATTCTGCTTAAACGTCTAGAACCACCGAAGAAGCCATTTATAGAGATTTGTAAAGGATTTTCTATAAAGTCAAATTTCGAAGAAGGGTAAATACCCAGTGGGAAAGAAGGCAAGCCCTCTAAGGGTGTGCGACGATATGGATTTCGCAATGGAAAAGATGGCAAGGTATACAGGGTTCGCCGCCCACACTCTTCTCATCTGACTCTAGTCGCTTCAGCAGAGAGCGTTAGCGTTAGTAAACACTAATGCGCAAACACAAAAAAGGAGTCTCACCTCCCTAGTTCTAGGCCGTTTCTCATGGTTTGTCTTCATTCTTGCGCCACTGATCACATCTGCCTTGAGTTGTAGTGGGTTGTCTTTTTACCGTGATCTCCGCTTCAAGAGCTGTATTACGGTTGGAAGGCAGCCTATTGAAAACAATGTAGAGATGGTCCGGGGTGCCAAGATGAAAAAAATACAGGAGAAATGGCCTCTTCCTTGTGTGTTGAACCCACGCTGACGTGAGTCTCACCGAAGCTGCCCTCTTCAACGATAATAATCGGCTTCAACAATAATGATAATCTCTCTGCTAACACATATTGAATTGCGGCGAGTGATTAGCCAGTCAGTAGGCGTGTCGTGCCGAAGGCGTCGCGGGGAGGGAAATGTAGATCACCGGGGGCGCAGCCCTCGCAGCGAATTCCGTGACGCTTCTTCACACTCTTAGGAGGTCCGCTTATATTTCCACTAGGGAAGCTTCCCCTTTGAGAATCGACTTTATGGAATGATTCTTTAATGAAGTCTCGAGATGCCCTATTCGTGAATCTTAATTCTTTCCCATTTCGAATTCGATACCATAAGTTGGAAAGAAACACGTTTGACTGGTTACTTATAATAACACTGCACCTGAACCACGTTTTGATCTTGTAATGTCCACCCAGGTTCACCCATTCGATGCCACCACTCTCTGACAGCCTTTGTTGCTTCAGTCTCTGCAAATTAATGAGATGCAATTCGTTTGTTATTTGTTTTAATCACACCATACCTGTTCCTCTTCTTGGACCTTCTCAAACATCAAGACAGCATCTCTGGTGTATTTTCCACACCCCTCTTGAACCCATTCATCAACATCTATTTTTCTGCGAATCGGACTCCCAAAAATGTTGCTCACTGATGCCTGCTGAAATAGCGATCACCTTGCAATGAGTTAGAATTGCATACTAATGCCAAACAAAAAAAAAACACAACAAAACAACAAAATTGAAGGCTATAAAATCTGGACAAAATGCCGGCCTTGTAAATCTGCACGACCACAATCAATACACGGAGACACCTCATACGCCGTGACAGTAGCTGCTTTCAGTCCTGTTCATGCAGAACAATGCACACGTGAAAGCGAAAGTCTTTCCCAGAATTGTGGAGCCTTCGACGTGGGAAATGAGGTTTTATGGAGAAAATCACAAACATGGTGATTCATCAATTCCGGAAACAGGCGGCGCAGGTGGGTCGAGAGTTGGTTCAAAGGGAGGGTCGTGTTCTAACTGGTGTGTTGTTTATTTCGCTTGAAAATAAAGAATAGTCGCATAGATTACGTCAGTGGTGGAAAAAATGAGGAAAAACACGAATTTTTTTGCAACATGCAATACTGAACTGTTAATGGCCAGTGGCAAATCCCGTTTTCCTCTTAACAATTTTCCAAAAAAAAAAACAATATAGTCAACATATTACCCTTCTTCTATTTTTCTTCATTGTAATAATTTTACGTCTACGTCGTCTCGAGGCGGCTGGTATAACCTGAACGAAAGATGAGTGAGAGAACGCAATGGGTTTTCCTCCTACCCGATTTGACCAGAAGCAAAAAGATATCCCCATTTGACTATTTTTTTCAATACCTTCGCGCTGTACTTTATTCATACTTCACCGCTGAAAAGAAACCAGGAGAAGCTTACCCGAGGTTTCTTTGAAGACGAAGCGACACGTTCACGTTCTTCGGTGGAAGAGAGATTCTTGTCTAGTACTGATGAATTGCCATCTAGAGAGGGGGAACTTTCGAAAGGGTCTCGTGATTTATTGGAAGCCCTGAGAATAGTAGACAATTGAAAGTTAAATATTAACAATCTGCAAAAAACAGCACTAGAATTCCGACAGCTTTATAGTGGTGGGACGGAAAGTCGTAATGGGACATACTCAATGACAACGCTAATACTAAGAGCGCCGATCTGGGAGTCTTTCGAGCCTCTTTTCAAAACTTGGAATTGGGAGCTGTCAAAAAGCGAAAATGTTCCTGTGTGCTCATCGGAAGCCAGTCGGGAAACTGTTACTCTTATATTTGAGCGATGGAAAGAAGAGAATTCAAATTTTTTTCATAGTAGTACCAAGGTAGAGAACATGCTTACAATGTATAAATTGGGAAAATTAAGGAATACATATCTCGAAATGCTCCTCTCCGTGCTCTTTTAATTTTCGATCAACAGTCAACGCTACAACAAAAAGTGAGCTTGTTGAGATTTACCTCCACCGTTGAAATGCGGCACGAAATGAACTGGGAAGGACACAAGGAGTAGACCGTTCTGTTGTCTCTGCCGGTTCGCCAAAAGCTAAATGGCTTTCGAGTCAATGACAAGACTGAGTTTGAAATGGCCCATGTTCTTCGGGGTCCACAATCTTTCCCGGTTGGCCTACCGAAAACCCTACCTTCGCGAGACCACCTTTTGCGAAGGATTCTCCCTAAGATGAAATTCAGCAGCTGCCTAATATTCTCGATCCGCAATCAATATACCATAAAAGGTCCGAGGAAAGTGCTGTTCCACCAAGACTTATTAGAAGCTTCGCACATCAAATTGTTAACTGCATGCGTATTACCGAAGCCTTTCCCAATAAGAACAACGAAGTGGCCGTCATAAGTATCGAGCGAAAGTCAATTTTCCAAAAGGCGAAATTAAGCGGTCGCTTGCCGATCCATACCTGCACAATTTTCTGGAATCAGGCAAAGTACCACCACACAATGATAAAAAGGCTACCGTTTGCCGGTGCGCCCCCCCCCCCCCCCCCCCCCCCCCCCCCCCCCCCCCCCCCCCCTACCGTCATTCTTCCATCATCTCATATCATTTCCTTCCTCTAATGGCTTCTCAGAGATCTCACTGAAGCACAAGCATGCTATCATTAATTCTTTAAGGAGTTCACCAATGAAGCTATGAATGAATTCTGTGGGCAACTAACAATGCAAAAAAAATGATGAAATTATAGAAGCAACACATTACTCTTGTAAGACTTTACGAAGCGCGGCGAAAACGAATTGGAACGTCGAAAGGCCCTGTTGGCGTTCGCGACGGTGGAATTTGGTTCCTGAAAGTGAACTTTCCTTGCGCAGTTGGAGGATGGACCATAAGAAGCTTTTGTAGAAAGAAGGTACTATAATTCAAAGTGCAGAGCTTTTGTTGAATTTAACAATTACAATAACAAAAAAAAACCTCAGGAATATGTGATGGGAATCAACCCACCATTCATTGTATGCAAAACTGAACCCACACATTATTTCAAAGCAAAAGTACTTTCACTGAACTCAACTAATTTTATATTGACCATATGATGGGTAGCTATGAGATTTATCAATCATCTACCTTTTGGAAGTTTTACCCAGAATTTTTTGAAGTTCAAAGAACAGGGTCGCAGAACTAGATAGCGCCGCAAAATTTCCTTGCCAACCTACATATAACCACCAGAATTCAGGTTAGCTAAAATTAATTATTAAATCAATATTAGTTGCAATCACATGCTAGGAAACTGACCAGCCTAGCTGGCAAGAATGGAGCAAACGTGGCTGACCAGACGGTTTCAGTGACAGATCACCTCGGTATCCAGAGGAAATAACAAAGCCGACATTGAGAAACTCGAGAATGGTATAAATGGAAGCCTACTCTTCAACCGCAGAATTGATATCGCGAAATTAATTGGTTAAAAGCCAAAGCTCTTGCTTCACTACTACTGTGGTAATTACTGGCAAGAGAAATACTGTCATGGATAGCACAGTATTGCGGAAAGGGGGTGACCGAAAACCACAAAAAGCGTGCACTCGTTACTACGTCTCAGCACAGAACCAACTTCGAAACATTCTTGAAACACTGTCCAAGAGGGCTGGAGAACAAATTGCTCCCTACTAATGCGAATGCTCCGTTATGTTGCCTTCATAGTCGACGTTGCGCAATTTTCCAAAAACGTACTTTGCGGTTGTCCGAGTTTCAGTAAGCTCTTTCCTCATCGAATCCATCGCTGCAGCTCTACTCCTGAATTAACGCAAAAAACCATACCCTTTGACATAAAATAGACAATCGCGTTTTTTAGAAATATTCAAAGTGCTCACCGAGTTACACGAGGTGTCAATTCCAAGGCGTCCTTTCCTTTCTCATCACCATCTGCCAACATTGGGGACCTATTTGGAGACAATTTACACTATGAATCATATGGCTGAACATTATCAGCGCCAAGCCATTTTTGTAACAGATTTACGACGTAGAATTTTAAGGTAGTCAAGCTGCATTACCAAGATAGACGAGATTTCCATTACAAACTACATTTCCGGCAGGATCAACTGAATGAATCT